GACAAGTCGCTGGGGAGCGAGCGGTTCCCGAGGGAAATCCAGCGCCCTGGCTTTTGGTGGCCGGGGTTGCCTCTCCAGCAATGTCCCTGTCCCTGACCCATACCGATGTCGCCCGGGAGTGCGGGGTGACCAAACGCGCCCCATTTCTCCTGCCTCCTCGCAAACCTGCAGATAAAGAGCGGGCTGCGGGGACGATGAAAGTACTAAGGAAAAAAACATGTGAATACGGAAAAGGGATGAAATTGTCACACAGTTAACTTTAAAGGCTGAATGGATTTTATGTTCAGGGGTAAACACAAAACCATCTACTAAAGTCAGACATGCATTTTTTTTCAGGGCTAATGGAATGAGTCATCGACAGAGTGGATTATTTAAAGCACCATGTGAGTCTATAATCATGTATATATACAAGTTATTATATATTGGAAATCTGTCTCCTCTACTCCCTAGTCTCTTATAATCCTCTGACCAGGAACCAGGCAGTCCCCATGTGGAAATTTAGAAAAGGAAAATCAGTAATGCTCTTAGCATCAAACAATAAATCCTGAAGTTATTTGCCACCACATTTAATTAAATATTTTGAAAAGAAAACCCTTGTGATTGATTTGCCTTCTGTATTGATCCACTATTGATCCTTTGCGTCTTGCTAGTCCAGCTGTGGCATGTGCTAAATGGCTGCGATGCCTAGGAATACCTAGTTATGAATTACTCCTTAAAATTCACGGTAGCACTTTCTAAAGACTCTAGTCTATCAACTTTAGTTTACTTAGATTAGTTCAAGCCTTCTATTTCCAAGAGCGATCGCCTAAAAAAAAAAGTGTAAAGTGTATGTGTGGGATTCTTTACTTCTCCCTCCCCTTCCCCTCTTAATTTTAAGACATTGTCTTACTCACTTCCTTCTCTTTCACACACGCCTCCCACCCATGAATACCTCGGAGAAGGCAGGGAGCAAATGAACACCCCTGTGTAGAAGCGCGGTGTCCGATCCCCGCCGCTATCCCGGGCTTTGTTTCCGGGGCTGAAGGAGCAGCCCCGCCGTCGATTCCGCACCCGCACCAGCCTCCCCACCCCGGCCCCGCACTGGTTTTGGGGATAACCCGGGCACACGGGGCGCGACACGGAGCGCAGCAGTGCGAGCTGCGGGCGCCTCGCCCGGCCCCGCTCCAGCTCCTGGCGCCCCGTTTGCACCAAACGTCCTCAGCAGCAGCCTCGGGGCTCTCTGCAGCGAGCGCTGCCCTAGACTGCGCTCCTCGAGCTCGACCCTGCTGCTCTCCTCTCTCCTTGCTGCAGTTACCTAGAGAGCCTACCACGACCAGCTAAAGTTTCTCTTTATTAGCGCTGGGGACATAACCCAGCACTTTCATTTGGCGTTGCCGGTGCTCTGCATTTGGCATGCACTAGCCGAGCTCGCAGAATAAGTTTCTGGGCTCCGGAGCT